TGATATTATGGGAGGGGGGCGCCCACCCATGTCCAGAATTTTTCCTAACATTTTCCCCAAATGCCCCTTTACCAGTTGTGCATGGCCAGCCCTCTGAACATTACGGGGTGAGTTGGGCCAGCCCTGCAGCACCCCCGAGGGGGACACCAGCATTGCAGGTTTTCCCAGGTGCAGGGGGAAGAGGTCATGTTAAGTACCTGCTCTCCTGGGTCATGATAAATGAATTAACAAGTTAATGGCTCCGATCACGTAAAACTACAATCCCAAATGAAAGAAGATTAAGAAAAGTCTTGGCTTTCCTTTGCCTCACGAATTACTGAACCTGGGCAGCCTGCAGCAGGCTGGGTACCACCTCGGGTCCGGGACACAAGCTCCAGCTACCTGCTGAGCCACCCAGGCAGCCCCCAGGACAAGGTGCCCATCCTGCCACCTGCCCTGGCTTTAGGTGGCCGCTGCAGGTGAGCGGTGGCGCGGTGCAGGGACACCTGCTCTCTCTGCCCAGCTGGCTCCCAGCACTGCCCCAGAGCCCAGCTCCTCCAGGCCTCCCCACTTGCCCCTCAGGCCAGAAAATGTCTTCATCCTTGAAACAACACCGAATGGCTAGGAATTAACACTGTCCGGGACTTTAGGTAACGATGTCTGGGCGGTCATTTTTTGGGGTCCTTATTAAGTGATGTTCATTTTCCTTAGTGTACATCACCTGCCCTGTGAATCCAGCCAACTGGACCTCTGCAGTCTCCAACACACTCAGCCTCTCCTCTGTGTGCCCTGTGACCGTCCCCAACTGATCCTATTTTTTAATAATTCAACCGTGGGCTGCATTAACTCTGTTTTATGTTCTTTTTAATTATTGACTAGTTCTGTGATCATATTGTTTTGATCTTGCTTGTTTCCTTATTTTTTATTCTTTCATCTCAGTAGTTGTATTTTTCTTATCTTTGATACTTGTTTTTCCAAATGAAATTCTTAGAAGTTCTCCTCTACTTGAATTTTTTCTCCTAGGTTATGGTTTGGGCTCAATTTGGTCTTTTGCATTTCCAGGCTTTGGCTACCTTTTAATTCCATCTCTCTTTCGTGTATGCCATACTTCTTAAAAGCATACAAGCATCATGCAATGGAATATTATTACTGCTAAAAAGGAATGAGCTGTCAAGTCATGAAAAGACTTAGAAGAACCTCAAATGTACACCACTGAGTGAAAGAAGCCAATCTGAAAAGGTGACATTGTAGAAGATAAAGCCATGGGGACAGTAAAGAGAGTTTGCTGCCAGGGATGAGGGTCAGGGAGAGATGAACAGGCCAAGCACTGAGGACTGGTAGGGCAGGAAACATAGGTGTAATGGTGGACATGCGTTATACCTTTGTCCAACCCATAGAATAAAAGATCCCCAAAGCAGGTCCTGGATGGTATTCACTACTCTGATGTCTAGTGATCTTTGAGTGCATGTCAATCCTTGTGATTTTCACTTTGTTTTTTATTGTTCTGTTGCATATTTTGGTATTCCTATAGATATTTTTGGGCTCTTTTGTAGATGCAATTGAATTATTTAAAATGCATTTGATTCTTCTGGAGACTGATTTTAATATCTTTTTAGGTGTAATCAAGTAAAACTTTAGTCTAGAGATAATTATTCCCCAACTGAACCAACCATGTTTTGCCCTCTCAGCTGCACCTGGCCCCTCCCTTTGCATGGATTGGAGACACTCAAGATGGCTCCTTGGAGCAGACTCTGGGCCCACCTGGTTGCCTTTCATCCTCAGGGTTCACTGCCTGATACTGCATGCTGCGGGTCCCTTGCAAAGTTGTTCTGCAGATTTTGTGGGCGTGCTATCTTGGCTGATCTGGGGTGACTGTCATTAGTGCCCTGGCCATCCATCCTGGATTTCCTGGACGTAATCAGAACCATCCATGTTGCTGGCCATCTCTTTTGCCTCCGTGGACATGGTACTTCATTACCCCCACCACCACCCCAACCCTCTGGCTCAGGTTCCCTAGAGATAACAGAAACAGTGAAGTTTCTTCCCAAGCCTAGTACCTACCTTCAGCAAACCCAAGCCAAGTTACAGAATCACAATCATCTTTTGGAATTCACCGTATTTGCCAGAGTCGCCTTAAAATACCGTATGGATCAGATGGAGTGGAGGGCCCTGGCCAGGAGCCGCGAGCTGTGAGGGGCAGTGATCGCAGCCCAGCGTGGAGTCCCTCACTGCAGAGCCGTCCAGCTGAGACGTCGCGTTTGAGCCCGTGTGTCCTTTGAAGAAGGGCCTAAGGATTCGGGATGGTTACTTCCACAAGACCCTGAGGAAGGAGCAGGCACAATTGTGAGCTAGTTTCAACACTTTAAAATCAGTCACAGAGGAGGGTTCTAGTTTTCCATTATGAACAGGTGTATTTCAAGACTTAGATCTAAAAAATACAATTCTAAGCCAAAATGTGTGTTTTGCAGTGAGGGACAGACTCAGCCCTGAGACATGGGCTGTCGCCTCCAAGGCAGCCTCCAGGAAGGCCCTGGGTGGAGGACCTGGGGACCGGCCCTTCCCCTGGCCTTGTTCCCACCTGCCCTGACAGCCTGCTTTCTGGGGTCTTGTGATCTTTACATGACGGCTTGAAAGGATTTATGTAAGTAAATAAAAATGTGCCCCCTGTGAGTTCTCTGTGCTGAATTAAGGCAGGTTTGAGGGTCTTTTATTATGCCTTGAAAACATCCAATATTTCCAACCCAAGTTTCCTACACCATCATTAATCCTCTTGTTGCCAGCATGCCTGGGGCAGCGTCGAGTCCCCCTGCAATTAAATCTCTCTCCACGTGAATTCTCTTACTTCTGCCTGCTCTGTTTTGACATGTATATTTCCCTCTGGGAGCTGTGTTCAGGAAAACCAAGACAGTTCTGGGTAAGAGAAACACTGCCCCAGTGCCCGCTCCACAGCAGCTCCTGCTCCCACTTGGCATCCAAAGGCAAATTGATGGTGTGGCTGACGATTTTCACTGGGCTCTGGGATTCTTGGATGGAAGCACAGGGACATAAATCTAAAATGCACGCCACGTGTTTCTCTGTGTGCAAGGAGCTAATTCTATCAAGGCTCTGGCTGATTGCAGGTGGTCCGTTGTTACTCATTTGTGTCTAATGAAATAACTGGAGGGGTGCGGTCTGAAATGGCAGGCATTGTTTCCAACAAAAGCCTAGTTTTCAGGATATACATGGGAATATTTTAGTTTTGAATGACTCTTGGTAATTTACTTTCTATGTTTATAGAAAAGAAGTATTTGAATCACTTTATGTAAACCCTTGCCACTGAGCACTACTGATTGGCAAGTTCATTTCATAAAATGGCTCTGTGTCTGGGAAATATATTATGCAAAATTCTTGCAAGGACGGTCCTAATATAAAATGTGCCATTGAATCTAGCACATTGGACTGTCAGCCAGCTGGAGGCAAGATGTGAGGTTTTGTATTAAAATGTACAAATGATCTTCCCCCAAATGAGCAAGTAAACTTGTGCCAGGAGTGTCGCACACGCCTGGTGTTCGGCTTGTGCTTCAGGCCCATCTTCACACCCTGGCCTCCCTTTCTCTCTCCTCCAGTTTTACCAAAGGACAGGACTTTGCCTTTCCTTAGTTTTTGGTTAGAGGACATTATCTGATAGTTCCTGGGAGGAGTGGCACCTGAGGGCATCTCTGGAGCTGAGCGGTCCATGCCATGGACAGGTTTCCTAGACAGCCCAATGCAGGTGACCCGTGCCTCTGAGAGGCCACTTGCCCCTGTTGGAAATTCACACAACAGGCTCTCAAATTCTGCTTCGCAAGAACTCTTGCCTGAAATCCTTTCATGACTATTTCAGCAGCTCATCAATATGTGAAGCACGTATCATATTATTTTGAGGGTTATTTGTGTCTTTCTCAAGTTGACGCCTAATTAAATGCACCTCAGTGGTGACTGGAACAATGAGAACACCACCTACTTGTCACCTACACTGATCTACTATAAAAAGGGCAGAATAAAAGTCAGGCACTTAAAGAAACTTGTGTATGTAAGAAATCGAACCACTGACTTGCTCTGTATTTTATGAAATAAGACATGGTAAATATGTGATATATCGAAAATATTCAAAATTCACTTGGGGTTTAGGATGAAGACCACTTCTTGCAGGGCAGGTGAAAGCTGGTGGCACTAGGATAAGGCCTAAGTCGCACATTCATTTCAGGCCACTACTGGACACACTGATGCTAGGCGACCTGAGAAATCTTCATGCCCTCCCTACGGAGTTGGGGCACGTAGGAGAGAAGTTCTGCCTACAAGCTGCCCACTGGGTCCATGGCCCGGTCCAGCTCCAGAGGAGGCCCCTGTTCACTGGATAGGAACTGGCCTGCATTCTGGTTGGGCTCTGGCCTTTCTGACCTGCAGGGCTCACTTGTCCTCCTCTGAGGCTTCTGGGGTATCCGGTCCTGTGAGGAGATGGCACAGGACTTCCTCGTAGGAGGAGAACCAACTCCGTAGCAGAGGACTGGCTCCTGGGTACTGTGGAGCAGGGTCCAGCCAGTCCGGGCACAGCCCTCTGCCCCCAGCTGGGCAGCCTGGTGAAGGCTGATGTGCCTGGGACCTCATCCTCCTGTGGAAGTTCACACTTGGCACCTCGGAACCCGTGAGTGTGAGCTGTGAAGAGCCTTCAATCCAGGGACCATGCCAGGCACAGGAGTGGCCTCCTGAGGGTGCCAACCACACCCCACCTGGGAAGTCTGGATTCCTGTCCTTGAGCTGGGCTTGGGGCTTAGGAGGTCCTTGTCCCAAAGGGAGAGCACTTTTTTCAGGGACACAAAAGCTAAAACTTCAATTTTGATGTTTGTGTCAAGAGAGGAGCAGACACAAAGGAGACCACTTTGCTGCTGGGGAGACCATTGCCTGAGATCCTGTGGAGGGCGCAGGCATCCTCCCGCCACCCAGTGGCATGCGAGGAAGGAGGTGCAGGGGCGTCGCCACCCACGACCCTCCCCCAATGCTTGCTTGTTAATGGACAAGTTCAGCCGTCTCGGTGGAGGTTGGGTAACCAGCGGCTGGCAGCCCTAAGGGACAAGGCTGGGTCCTGCTACCCAGGCAGCTGTCAAGGCCAGTGAATCGCCGTCTAAGGACGAGGAGCAGCACAGACAGTGCAGGTGGAGGGCAGCCTCAGCCTCGGCTCACAGCTCCAAGGAAGTTGCACCCTGGGCTGCACCCCAGCCCTGGAACTCGCCTGGCCTCTCTGAGCTCCTCGGGGAAGAGGCACTCTGGGGCTGGAAACTTCTAGAACACAGGGAGTCTCTCCAAGCAGCCGGGTGGGACCATGGTGTGCCACCCCCTCTCTTGGGTGGGTTTGGTGCCCTGTTAGTGGAAATGTCCAAAGATGCACCTTCAGCTGCTTTAGCTGGGGCAGCACCAAAACAAGGCAGAGGATCCCAGAGGAATAAGGCAAAGTAGCCCAGACCCTTCCTGCCCAGCGTGCACCTGTTCCAGCCATTCTGCTTCAAGCAGCCTCTTCAGGATGCTTCCCCGACAATCTTGGGATTCTTGTTTCACATCAATAATACATTGCCTCCGTCCTGCTTCATCTGTGCTTGAATATTCCCAAATTGGGACTGGGTAATTTTTAACCACAACATACATATCACTCTGTGAAAAATTCATTATAAAATCGTCTTTCCCAATCTCTATGGTACAAATGCTCCGCTTTCATCTATGGAACATGGAAAGAGGACCAGTGGGTGACCACCGAGAGTCTGCACATGGGAGCACACATTGAGGGGAGTTTTTAAAACACTGCTTTCTGACCAAAGCTGGGATGTCTGTTCTGAGTTCAAAGGTATGATAGCAGTGCAACTCAATAAAACCCCTTGCAACACAATAAACCCAGACACTCATATGGCAATGTGTTGGAGGAAAGAGCTGCCTTTGTGCATTCAAAAAATATTTGTACGCCACATATCCAATAACTTCTGTCAAAATTAGAAATATAATTAAATTTATAAATGTAAAAGTGAGTCCATTAGTGATGGGATTCGCAGTGTAAGCACCACAGTGGCCCAGGGGAAGACATCTCCCAACCGTCTACTCGTCATCTCTGAGCTGCAGTTGGCAACATTTTGACAAAAGTAATTACTTCTTTTATTTTGCCCAAGGGCTATATTTCTAAGTAAAGAAAAAGAAGTAAAAGTAAAAATTACAGAATGCATGTTGAGTTAAACGTGTAAATGGATGGGAAAGCAATACTACCAAACATTATACAAACGCAAGTGAGATTAATTGCTCAGTTACATGCCGGAAGAAGAATAAGTGTTTTCTTTCAGTCTAAATTGCTGCTTTAAATTATAATAAACATTCCAAAACAATATGTTGTTTTAAGGATTATGAATAATTCAGCCTGAATCATAATGATTACAGATTTGAAAAGAAAAAAATAGAGCTATATGCACTAATAAGTAAATTTTTAATTCAGCAAATGTTATTGTCTGAAATAAAACCATATGCTGAGATAAACATGTAACTTCTGATGCCAAAGGACGGGGGGCTGTCACAAACGTTTCCACGTGCAGCCCTGCAGAGACCCAGAGCTGGCCTGCACCCTGCAGACAGCAGAGACACACCCAGCCCCCTCCCTGTCTTCTGCAGGGTGCAGGCCAGCTCTGGCTCTCTGCAGGGCCGAGGGCACAGATCCTAACCCTGAGTCGTATTCCTACCCTCCCACACCTGGAGAAGCCTACCCACTGACAGGCTGGGACCGTGGACCCAGAAGAAGGAAACAGGGCCTGGCTGAGATCCCGAGGAACTGAGCGGAGACAGAGAGGAAGGCCTACCTCTGAACTCGAACAGGCATCCCAGCTTTGGCCAGACCAGGAACAGGCCACCCTCTGGATAGGGAGGAGGGAGCCAGGTCACCCCACCAGGAAGGACGTGGGCAGGGAGAAAGGCAGACCTGGGCACCTTCCAGAGAGCCACCGGGGAATCGCGGAGGAGGGTGCTGGGGAGGGTCAGTGCCACTGCAACAGGCCTCTTCCCACCAGAAGCTCCTCCTGCTGACGGAAGGCAGAGCTGGGAACCCTGTCACCTTCTTCAGCACAGGGCTAGGCCCTCTCACAGGTCCCGTTGGACAGGCTCGTCCCCAGGCTGAGGCCCCCTGGCTGCACCCTCTGACGTTCCTGGCCCACTGCCCTGTGCCTGCCCTGTGGACCTGTCCACTGTGTCTTTGTAGCCTTTGGATGGCCTGTCCACCTGCACTCTGGAGCCTGCTGCCCCTGGAGCCTGCCGTCCACCCCTGGGTCAGCCTTGCTTCCCCTGGCCCCCACGCAGCTTCTGCAGGCCTCCAGGGAAGCCCATGGACATGGCCACACCACATCCCGCTCTGCCACTCCACGGCGGCCCTGCCGTCCCAGGTCCTGGTGGGCCGGCTGGAAGGTGCTGGTTCTGCAATCGTATAATTTTCCTATATTCCTAGGCAGCAGGTTGAGTTTCTTCCTATTAAAAATTCCCTTCAATGTTACCCTTTTTCTGAAGATTTCTCGTCTATCATTCAGCATCTGAATTCCATTCTGTTCACATGCCCCAAGTGCTGAATATGACTTATTTCTCTAATTTTAATTATGTTTTTGAAAATAAATATTTAAATAACTTCAAGGACTCTTCTTGAATGTGTAGTTTTCTCCCAACCCTGCTCCTTCCTATCTTCTCCCTCCCTGACCAAGGCCAGCAGTGTCCCCGGCCTGGCCTCCCAGGGCCGTGGAGTGATGGCACTGTGGGAACCCCCGGCGCTCCTCCTCTTCATCAGTCTCCCACACCCCACGTGCCCCTCTTTTTCATTGTGGCTGAATCTATAACAACATTTACTAGCCGTTTAACATTAATTTCCTTTACTCGTAAGAGTCTGCTCCTTAAACCATACTGTCATTAAGTTGGTTTCTTTCAAAATCACCCTTTCCTGCTCCACAGCCTTATCTTGTGAGGCACCCCCTCCTCCCCAGAAAATCTCCACTAAGCTTCTCCAGAAATCCGCACCGTGGCTGATTTCAGGACTATCAGCAAAAGGGTCTCTACAAAAGTGTTCAGCTTAGGTAAACTTCCTATTTTCCTATGGCTCTATCACTTGGCCACGGGCCTGGAGGAAATCAGCACTCCAGGTGCTGGACGTCCTTTACTTGCTTTTCATAAACATTTATCCAGTTCAGTAGTTAGTACAAGTGTGTTTGCAAATGCAAACTGTGATTTTAAAAAAAAGACTAACCGTTTAACAAGACTTCTGGGGCTCCACACAGATACCTACATTTCTAAGATAAGTGAACTTACCAATTGGGCTCCATGGTAACAGCTGTCGGGGAGCGGGGAAGAGAGGGGAGAAGAAGCTCCCCCTTCTCAGGTGCTGTCCTTTGCCAAAGTCTGGCTTGGCACAAATCAGGAGCCACTTGTCAAAAAGAAACTAACTTTATTTTTAGAACTACAAACGCCAAACAAAACAGCTCCAGGGAAAA